TATTATTATTATTATTATTATTATTATTATTATTATTATTATTATTATTATTATTATTGTTACAGCTAACAAACTACCGTACTGGTGAAATACTTCTGTATAAACTGAACTAAGGTTTGGATTTCACATAAAATACAATATTAAGAAAAAATATAGATCCAACTGTTATACCTAAAATTACACAGAATACTCTCTTCGATAAAAGAGCACAGAAATAAACACAATAGATTTAAAAAAAATGGTTTTAACAGTTTACTTTTTTACACGATCTACACGATTTGTTTCCTCTTTTCCTCACTTCAGAATAATGTTCGTAACTATAATATAGAAACACGAATATGACAATTTGTATGACATAAAATAGACACAAAAAATAACAAAGGTTCAAAATGTCACTGAAATTCCACCAATTTTTGGTCAGATAAGAGAGTACAGAAGTAAAAATGATCTAAAAAATAAACAATATGAAAGCGAATTACTTTCATACGATTTCTTCTTTTTCTTCTTTCTTCCCTCTTCGACATAAAGTTATCAACGAGCTCACTGACAGACCATCGAACATTATTAATTTCATTGTGCATGATCTTCTGACAGCGTGTGTACTTGTTCGGATTTAATTTTTTTCAAGGCAGTGTTGTCTTGCCCTGCGCACGACTCTTCTTCTGAATTCGCCATCCTATCTCGTTCTTTAATTGGATTGTTGGTGAAGTAGATACCTTTTTATTTTATTTTTATTTTGATAAATAATAGAGATATTGTCTAGGTTATCATGATTGTTATTCTACTAAGATACATTTCGATCGCGTAGCGTCATCCTCAGAGGCTAAAAACAATACAAATATACAATGTGAATATTAACAGGTGGTTATGTATAGCAAGGATGCCTAAGGTCAAAACTGATCGTCACATACCTTGCCAGCTTCTGGGCGAAAACAAAGTTCTGCGAATTTGAGCGGTGTGTCTTGTTTAAGAGCACCAGCCGGTCGGCAGCGGAGGGGCGGGAAGGAGGTGGGGTGCGGGTGAAGGGTACGTAAAATGTGGGGGCTGCTGGGGATGCTTGAGAAGACGGGTCGGCGAGCGAAGGTTAGTGGGGTGGGAGGGCTGGGGTGGTTGGGCGTGTATCACTAATCTCGTTCCCTGTCGCGTGTTTTCACTCCTGTTACTCGGCACCACAATGCGTGACTTGCGCTAATTTATGGGTGCATACGCCGGGTGACATGATGTCTCCAGTGCCAATGTAGGGATTCTAGTTGCTCTGCATCTTTAACTCTTGTTTTTCCTTAAAAATACGGCTGTTTATGTTATCGCTAAGCATACAGAAATTCGTGTCACGTATTTTTGTTGATTTCTGTTGTAAGGGATATTTTTGGGCTTCTGTAAACCACCAAGTTTTTGCGAAACTAATGTTAGAACCGGAAGTACATACGTATTCATAAGAGTCTTTTTATTGATATCCAAATTTTCTTGCTTAAAAGAATAAAGGAATGACTAGGATTTTCACCAAGGAACTGTAATTCTAGAGTGTATTAATGATACTGATTACCCGAGAATGTGTAATCGTCCATATTTACGCATTCTTCGACGACTGGTTGTAGTAGATCTTTTGACATATTTTGTGTTTTCGAGAAGTGAATTACGAGACCCACTAGTGTGCACTCTTTTATTGAGCTCATCGTGGTTCAGGACAGGTGGTGAGGCTCACTGTATGATTCGCAAACTAGAGGTTGTAGGTCTGCTATACCCCTATTTTTATCCAATTTAGTTATACAATACAAATAGTGCTAGAATTCAGTGGTTTATTTTTTCCATAATTCTTATGTGTATGGAATACCTTGATTTGATTAGGTTTCGAAAACTGAACTTTTCCTTGAAAGTGCTTTAGCCAAATTATTGAAAGATATGTAAAATTCATATTGTAAACATGAACTTTCTGGAATATTTTATTTATAGCTTTATCTATTGATTGATCAAATTTAACTTTGGTCATATAATAATGTTAAATAGTATCCTAAAATGTCGTGAAAACTCCACGTTCGTTATCACACCGAGGGCAATTTTTTTTATAATATTGAATTGCATTAAAATCATTTGATTGGTTGATGTGACAACATATTGCCGTTTTTTACTATATATCATTTGGTGAAAATTAATTGTAGTGTTCTCTACCAAGTAGGCTCACTCAAAATGAAAAATACTAGAACTTGTGAAAATGTAAAAGATAAATGAGAAAATAAAGGATACAGGCTAACGTTGAGTTCGAATGGTTGCAGTGTGTTTGCGTGCTTTCAATCAAAGCTTCCTCAAAGAGGAAGCCTTGTGTCAACACTGCCCATGAGAGACAACAGAAGCAGATAGCGTATAGATCCCACTATTTGATTTCGATTTTTCCCCGTACGTAAACCTGTAAAAGGAGTATCCCCATCGTGATTTTGTGTAAAGTAAAATGTTTTGGGGTACAAAATTAACAGCACAACAGAAGAATATTTGAAGGTAAACAAACACATTTTAAATAGACCTGATTTATCCTATAACATATGTAATTAAATTTGTTATCCCAACACATACATTTCTGTTTCAAAAACACAGAAACGTAAACAGTGTGCCTCCGAGGTTAAGAAAGAAGTACGGTCTCTTATGGTGACAGTGATGTCAAACGTGGCGCTTTTCTGCTGTACTGTATGAATCGAAAGTTATGCGCTCGATGATGACAACGAATCCCGCAATGGGATGGAGCGCTAGTTTAACGCTCAAGTACTTTATCTTGGACCTTTCCAATTGGTATTTTCATATTGTATTTTCCTCCCAGTTCTTAAATCTAAAGCTATTACTAAGAGACTACAATACACAGAAACGTTTCAGTCCAGTTTCTTACGTCCTTTGTGCTTCGAAATGTTATAAGAAATCAGGAAGAAATATTTATTTTAATGTGCAATACTATTTCAAAACAATACCCAAAATTCAAGCCAACTACATGGAGTTGCGAAAAGATCAAGTATCGTGTTTCCTTTTAATAGTAGATAAATAATGTTTTGATTACCGAACATAATATTTAAAATTTCTTTGACGACAAAAGAAGTCGGCCCACGGGAACAAACTGATTTGATTCACAGGAAACCGAGCTGCCGCGCGCCAGATGAGCGGACATGACAGTTTTCTATCGGTAGGCATTGCTTACGAATCCCGTTGGAAATATAATTATAGTTAAAACGTTAATAACCATTTGTATATTTCGACTATTGAGCTTTTTCACAAACTGACTGTGCACAATTCGGCATGTTCGCAGAATACAATAAAATTAGTTCCTTAACCTAACCTAATCTCAACTCAACTTGCAAACTTACGTTAAAACACACGTTAAAAATGCATTCCAAAACACCATTTTTATCACGGACACTCTAAAAAAACTTTAAGTTAATGTTGTATAATATAAATCACGATAATGTATATTTTCGGCATCACCAATATTCACAAAACGCGACCAAACCGCACCAGAATTCCACATGACAAGTTGCTTAAATATTCTCGACTGAGACTTCATGCGCAGGACGACGAAAATGTATTCCACTGTGCACCCCCTAGAATAATATGTTCTACTTCCTTCAAGTCTCTTTTTTCCCCTATTGAAACATCAATGATGTGGCATCAACATAATTTAGATTTAGATTTAGTCCAAAAAACAGTAAAATCTGTATGTGCCAATTGGTAGAGAAGATCGTCTACGCACGTTTTCTTGAGTTCAAGAATCAATCCCCATCATTTTAACTATAAATAGTCGAAAGATTACTAAAATTTTAAAATAAATTTTAAAAAGTGCGAGATAAGCAATATTTGAAACAAATAGACATTTTTGTTCCCGAGCTATAGAAAACTTATTTACATCGGTAAACGAATTGCAAGTATTACTTTTCTGCATTGACAACAAAACAGTAACTCGCCATTACCTCGACTCCTACCATTACAAGCAAAAGGAGAGTTCAACAAAACGTGTGCATAGTGAAGATACATTTACGTCCAGAAGCAAAACAAGGGACCATCTCTGCATTTGCTCAGTGGATTAGGGAAAAACAGTGGATTTGGTCAGTGGACAAAATCCTGATCGAAATGGGGGTCATTGATCCGGAAGCTGAAGTACATTATTTGTTAAATGTATATGAAGTCTTTTGAAAAATATACAATACATATATAAACTAATTCTTTATATATCACTGCTTTGTTAAAACAAACATTTTTTTGATGATCATTGACGTTTCATACAGCAGATGACAGTAATGTCTATATTCATTAAAGAGTGAATAGAAATATATGTTAAACACCGAATTACTAATTCTCTCAAAGCCCATTGTACAACCACGAGACATAAAGCTGAATTCAAACTCCATTCCATTTACACACAAAATGTTTAATAGCGTGCTTACATAATCACCATCTCACCTGGATTTTCTCACCCTGGTCTTATGTATGATATGTCTCTTCGTTCGCATATTCGTGATAATGGAATAATACTGTTTGAAAAGAAATGACGCAAGATGTCTTGGTTCCTCCTAGTGAGCAGTTAGTTACACAAAATAAAAATGTGATTAGTTACACAATATTTACGAAACAGCGTTTTAAAGGAATTTAAAACGTAATTTCTATATTTTGGCACTTCCGTGTTCATAAACAGAATGAATACATATGTTAAGTGAATATAATGCTCTGTGAGCAAACCTCCTACCTTATTAAATGCAACTTTATAATTAATTCACAAACGTCCTTCTCCACGGGGTCGTTATCCCAGTCACGTGCCAACTACGCATCAAAGCAGACAAACGTACATGCGCCACGTTATAAAAACGAAGTATATATAACAATTAATTTTTATAAAAAGACAAACATCGACTTTACACAACTTGATACAATAGCGATTTTGTATAATGCAATAGTGAAATCGAAATTGATGTACTTCTCAGTAGTGGGGGTCTCAAAGTGTGAATTTTGCAATAAATAAAAAATAGAGTGTACAACATAGCATTTTCAGATATGCATCATGCAAGAACAAAAATTCAATGTCATTTCATTCCCATGATTATTCAGACATTTTCCTGAAAACTAAATTACAGTCCTCTTGTGTATTAGATGACAATCAAATTTATGTAAAATCTTTTCAATACTAATTTCAAAGGCCCTGAATTAAGAAAATTATCACTACAATAATCTGTGTAATACAAGAAGGAATGTTTTATTTAAAGAAATGTTTTGCAAAACACAAAATTACTATTGCTCACTTCGTTTAACTTAATATTGCAATAAATATTTGAGCGATGGACAATTCGGTATGAGTGAGGCAAGTTTTGGAAGATGTTTGAAACAAAGAATATTGGATTTTAACTAGTACAACTAGTTATCACTAATTTGTAACTCCATTAATTGCACTTTTTTGTTAATGTTATTAAATTTGAATTTTTTATTAAGTTAACGCCCGTATGTACGTCAACTATGTGTAATATATAATTTCATATGGGCAAATAAACCTGTTGAGTGAATAAATAAATAAATATTGAAATACTTTTACTACATCCTCCAATTTTTTTGGCTTTTCTTTGGAATGTATCTGAAACTGTTAATAAATTGATTGTATCTATTTGTTTTCTCAATATAACAAGAACAGGTAATAATATTGTATACCCAACTGAAGTTCGTACTTACGTAATACTTACATCCGTTCACGCAGGTCGACGAATTGTTCTGTACAGACATAAGTTATTCTGATAACTGAAATTTGGGTTGCGGGATGGGAATATTTAATAATTCAATGATTAACAAATTTATTGATATACTGATGTCGTAGTCCATCTTTTACTTTCTTCGAACACAGAAAATAATTCTTTTCTTTTAAGTCATTCTTGCAATTTAATGTTCAAATACATAATTATCAAAGTAACGTATCATTATCGTACATCACAATATATATTAAAGCTGTAAGGGAACGATTTTGGTGTCCATCCTATTCGGCTCCCAATGAATGATTTTAAATAAGTGAGGTACCAAAAAAAAACAAACATATTAGGAGCGGAGGTTACTATATCTGATGAATAGATCACATCTTTCCTTTTGTGAATAAAATGTTACGAAATTTGCGTTGTTTGAAATGCGCGGCTAGAACGGAAACGGGAAGATGGCGTCATGCGCAACTGGCAACATCGCAAGTTCGCAGGAAATGGAAAGCAGTTGATCTTGCTTAGAGAACATAGTTTTGTGTGATCGTTACAACGATTGTTTGTGACCTTCAGTTTGAAATATTCAATGTAATTTCTTATGTATAATATTTATGATACCTACGGAAACATGAAAGTGGCGATGGAGTTCTGATTAGTATTTAAATTTGTATTTCATACATTTTGTTGCATATATTAAGGTAAGGGTGGTAGCAGATTATGCTGTTTTACTCCAAAACAATACTTATGTATGTATGTGCAAAATATAAAAAAATGTATATTCATGTATGTTATTTTTTTATCATCAATTTTCTACTACACTTCCTTCTGTGCGATGTATTTGCACGGATTCAGCTACTTCAGTAGTATTTGCAGAATCATTCCCATAATGATAATAATAATAATAATAATAATAATAATAATAATAATAATAATAATAATAATAATAATAATAATAATAATAATAATAATGAGGTTGGTAGACCTGGTCTGCTGTGCTCTACACTGGTTCTCACGATTTTTGGAGATTCCGACGGCTGGGCGTCGCTGTTGGAGCGCCAGGTATGTGGAATTGATGCCGTAGGATTTGGCGATTGCTAGATAGTAACTCGTAATATAGAACAGTGGCTGCAGACAGCCAATGGCGGTGTATTGGGGTCCCTGACGAAACGTTTCAGCGCTTACTGGCTCTTAATAAAAATGCCACCCGTTCATCGTCAGGGGTGCCAACAAGCGGAAACTCCGTGAACCTTGTATCGACTGTCGCTTCCCGTAGCGGACAGGAGATAGACGAGGAGTAACCTACGGCGCCACCTAGAGACACTGCAAACTTGAACGGGCGGGCGGCGCCGCCCAGCGGTCGGGACCAGAATGATCACGCACTCGTCACGGCTGGAGAGAATGTGAGGATGCTAATGGAGAAATGGACAGTGATTTGCGGATAGCGCAGATGGTGCTGGTAGAATGACTGTCTATTAACTTAAATATAGCTGAATGGGCAATGCTATGGAACAATCCAACGGTCATGAAGGAGTCCCTTACAAAGGCATTAAAAGCAGTATAGATGCTTAAAATCAAATGCGAGGAATTTTCGGAAGAAGTATGAGAGTTTAGAAGACCAGTTGCAGAAGGTGCCAATAAGGGCCGAAAGGCGGGATAAAGATTTTAAAGATCCACAGGACTCAAAAGCAGGAAATACAAATCGTAGTAGATAAAGATAACGATATTGACCCACTGAAGGAGACCGAAGTCCAAGTCAGTAGGCGAAGAAGCAGAAGTTAATTCGCTGATCTCAAAAACAGTGGTTGAAATACTGGACATAGGTGAGATCAAGGCAGTCTAAACTAACTAGACTGACTTGGTGAGATCATAGAGAAAGACGAAGTTGTGAATGTTGTCGCACACTGTGTAGGGGCACAGACAGCACAGGTAGCAGGATACTGCGGAAAGGATACGGGAACGTGCGAGGGGCGACAATGTTACTGCCAGCAGAACTAGCACAAACAACTGCAGGAAATATAACAAAATAAAAATTGGATGCATAAGATGCCGAATTAGAGAGAAAAAGCAGACAACACTAAAATCCTTCAGATGTCTTCATTTGGCCATATCTCAACCAGGCGCAATAGAGTCCGGATAGAAGTAATGTTTCCTACAGATACGGTGAAGTGGGGCTCTTAGCAAAGGAGTCAACAGGAAAAATTCAGTGCATCGTCTGTAAAGAGAAGAATAAGCGAAATGATCACTGGCTGGAAAGTAAGGAATGTGCATCCTTTATGGCTGATATAGATAAGTATCGAAAATAATGAAGATAGGTAGATAGATAGATTTATTAAAGTTCGCTTTGAGCTAATGCTCGGTGGCAAACATGATAAATTAAAATTAGAAAAACTAAACTTTTAAAATTACAATTGGTTTACTATTAGAATTAGGGGGTCGATATAATATTTTCAATTTATTTTAGTAACTCTACATTCACTTCTAGTTTACATAACACTTCACTACACTACACAACACTACATAACACTGCACTCCCCTTCACTTACACTGCACTCCCTTTCACTACCTACACTCCCTTCCCATACACTCACATTCACATCATTCACTGTATAAGGCCATGCAATAATATATGTCAATAATATATAATAATAATAATAATAATAATAATAATAATAATAAAATAATAATAAAGATAATGTCTCAGTCAGTATTTTCGAGATGATCTAGATGGAATGAAGTTATTTTTATTTGGCTACATTAAGGAAGAGCCTTTGGTTCTGCAGGTAGTTTATTCAAATCTACTATAGTGCGATTCCACAAAGGAGAACTTGCCTACAATCAGTTTCTTTGCTTTCTACATCGGTATTTTCCAAGGATTGTCCTCCTTGCTTTTATGTTGATTTCTGTAATCTTTTACCGATCTGCCCATGCTGTGTCCCTCTGTATGTCTTATACATTACGGCATAAACGCCCGTTTCCCATCTCTTTGATAAGGAATCCATTCTTCTCGTTCGTCCAACAGCACCGTTGATTTCAAGCTTGAGGACCGTTTTTGAATTTTATCTAACGATTCGATTTGCCCTTTTCTGTACGGGTCGCAGCATGCCGCTCCGTATTCTAATTTGGACGTACAAGTGTAGTATAGTGCTAGGATAGGCATTTGGACTACTATATTTTAGAATACGCATTACAAAGTGCAGCGCTCTCCAGGATTTTTTAACCGTGCATGAAGATGCTGATATAGATAGTAATCGAAATTAATAAAGTAAGAGCTACCCGCCAATCCCCTTCACAAAGTAATGCCTGACGACGGTTTTCATGGAGATCGCTTCATGGATCAAACGAAAGAAAGTTAGCTTTTAGTGAGTAGACGAGTTGGAAGTCCGACCCAAGTTGGCGGCTTCAAACCTGATCGAAGCCGTGGAATTTTAAGGGCGAAAAAATCCTTCGTACGCCTTTCTTCGGAGGAGAAGTAAAGTCGGCTGTCCCATTGTTAGTAGATTTACTTGCATGTATATGATCCTCAAGCCTAAATGTCGCCTCTGAGCTAAATTCAAAATCGCCTGTTTCTCGCACGTTCCTCTGCTAGTTGGTGAAAGGAGCGAAGCGAAATTTGCGTGGTCAGACGGAAGAGCAGGCCTCATGGTCTGAGTCTCGCCACGTAAAATAAGCATCAATTCAATTCAACCGGTTCGCTAACATTTTGAACATTTTCTACATTTTCTTGATTTTCACACCAATGACATATTGTACATTTTCTTGGTAATGGCTGAAACTTTTTTCATGGATTTTTTTAAACAGAAAAAAGTGTATATTTATAACAACAATGTAAATATAATTTTCATTAAAACCTCGTGTTATTTAGAAAATTGCCAGAAAAATCTAGAAAAAATGAGCTTTTATCTCAGAACAATTTCGCTTTAAATGAAGGTACTGGGCCCCAAATGTTTTATCGTTCGCTATTATTAACGGGTTTTATAATATATACACTAAATTTTATTATAAAAATTATCATACAATTAATAAAATGAATGCTTATTTGCTGTCATTTGTTTTTACTTGATTGTTCCAGTTGTAATCGGCGTATTCAACATATTCTATCCGAGGTTTTTGACATTTCCTCCAGGTTTCTTCGGAGTATTTGACATTCGAAGTATTCAGCATCTCTTCGAGAAACCATGGGAATGTATGGTTGTTAGACAAGCTAATATAGCGAGTTTTCTGACTTTTTAATGTGTGAGATGTTTTTAAATACAAAGATTGTTATTGAAGTATTGCTTAAGTATATGGAAATGCAATATCAAGCAGTCGTTTGACACGTGATCTTTCACAAATAAATTCGATGTTTTATGGTCACGTTTTTACTTTCTCGGACTTACTAACGTATGAAGAAAAATTAATGTAATCGTGCGCCGGAAAACAGAGACGTTTTCCACCCAAATACCCTTCATTGCCGAGCCCTGGTAACGAAAATGTGGATAAATCCAGTTGCTAAATTTAGAAAAAACTAGTGATGCTACAAAATGGCACAGACTTCCGCGCATTAGTTTTCCAATTCCTTTGGTCTCGGACTTGCCACATACTTTTGCCAACTGCCATCTATCGCCGCCCAAAGTACATTTTTTGGAATTTTCAAATTGAAAAATATTGATAATCCCTAATCGTGAATGACGATGACTCCAAAATTTTGATTAAATTTTATTGTTGAATAGTGCAAAGGACATTTAAGAAAACGGCGCAGATCTCATTTTCATTAAAATCCACAATATTTCAAAAACTAAAAAAAGTTAAAAAACTACAACATTGAAGATATAGATTTCTTCAGACAAAATTAGCTTTTTAAAAAACGTCAGGTACAATTTTTCGAAAAAATAAGTAGTTTTTGTGTATTTTGCGCTAGAAATAATTGCTATTTTTTCTAAAAAACCGCTCCAAATTTTGATTTTAAATTTGCTTCATATTTGTAAAAATATCGTGCTCGTTCCATTTTTGAATATTGCTCGTTTTTTCGAAAATTGCAAAAAATTTCGAAACTACGAAATTGAAGATGGAGATTTGTCTCACGTAAAGTCAGTTGTACAAATTCTGCTCTCTAAAAAAGATTATGTACAATTTTGTGTAAAAGTTAGTAGTTTTCATTATATTTTGTTTGAAATTAATGAAGCGTATAAGGGCGTCCGGTCGTACGTAACAATAACATTGTAATATTGCGAGAAAGTATGTGTTGTTGTAGCACCACTAGTTAAGGAAGAGTGAACTAAGGATTTCTTTGAATATTTTTCGACAACCTACACGAACAGATTCTGGAAAATATAACACATTTTCACAAAAATGTTTAACTCTGCTCACGGTGAATACTGATTGAAATGTTCTAGAATGTGTTAACTCCCACATTTCATTAGACTTCGAGATTTAATATTCAATTACATGAAATAATATTTTGGGGATTGTCTATTTTTCAGTTAATGATTCTACAGCTGCATACCACAGATCTCATTTTCGGCGTTCATCCTTGTTGCTCAAAAATTTAAGATAAGCCAATTACCAACGATATTGATTCTTGTGGCTTTGATGATTTTGGGATAGCTTCATTCAATTGTAGAATTTTTTAACAATGCCTTGCACTTAAAAAAGAAGTAATTGTTTAGTAAAACCACCAATAAGAGGTCTGTATGCCTCGAATTCCCGCTAGTTTTTTTATTAGTGTTGACTAAGGAAATACAGTGTTCTAAGAAAATAAAGAATTCTTGGAGAACTTATGTGTTTATTTAAATGAATCTTAAATTGTGATCAATATTCCCATGTGAACCATTTTATTCGTCCTTGTTTTTGTTGCTGTGGTCTACCAATCTAAATTTCACTGTAAGATTACCATTCAGTTCTTCGTCGTCCGGTACTTTCTGAAACATGTAGAGAGTATACGGTCCTGGGGCGAAACCGCATGGAAAATTTTTTGGGAAAATTGGACCACTTATCTTGAGAGGTTCCTGAAAAAAAAAACAAGAAAAAAATTAGAAAGTGTAACTTTTTATTGTCATGCATTAGAAAACATTACAATGCAAAACTTGTATTTTTGTTTATAAAACTGTTTGCATGATGGATGTATTATTCCCTTTTCAATATGCGCTTCAATCCCTTGTATATATTTCTTCGTGCAAGAATTGGATGAAACAAAATTTTATTTGTTCAGATAGTATTTTTTTTAGAATTTCAGAATGTCGCCTCTTTGAACACTGAAAAGTTAGTCTTAATGGTCGCTGCCCAGACGTACTTATGAAGTCGCTCGGACAAACATAATTTCACTGGATCTTAAGTCAGTCACAGGAATTTGTCGTATTCACAGAGCAATTTGGGACTGAAACATACGGGAGAATAACAAGCTAATTGTTTAAGTTGCTTGTTGCTTGTTAAGCTAATTGTTCATCTAATTCAGTATAATGTTGATAAATATTAACATTAATTTTTTTTACTTTTTTTTGCAGAAATGAACGCCTTGAAAGACATTAAAATGTATAAATTCAACATCGCAAAAATCATTAAATGTCGCGTAGACATAAAAAGTCAGTGTCCGTTATATTATTAGTTTTAACAAATTATTATACATAAACTAAACAATTGTAAAAATACGATCATTCAGCATCGTATGTCACGGGCTTGGGGATGTTGAGCCCAAGTACGGATTTATGGACACTGTTTTGGTTACTAAACCTGTGTCAGTCTAAAGTTTTGTTCGTGGCGTGGGGTCCTTCCGAGACCTTCATGTTTCATATTGTATATATTCTAATTCTTCCATAATCGCTTGTGCTGACAGAAAAAATGTGCGTGAGAACTGTGTGTAATTAAGGATCTGAATTATTACACCTAGAACAATGGGACAAGCACCGATTTGGGGCCAATGGTAACCTTGACAAATACGTAAAAATACAGGGTCCAAATTGACCTCTGCAATGTTCTGGATACGCGAAGGTGCTCTTGACAGGGAATCTCGCCAGTGGAACGGCGGATACCCCTTTTTTCCATTCGTCATTAACCTTTCCAATAACAGCTTCACAATAGTTTAATGGAGCTGTTTCTTGCGTCAAATTTGCCGTCGTATTGTATCTTACTATAGGGTGTCTTATTCTCCATGATCTTCGGATTGCCTTTGTTAACATTTGTTAAATAATCACTTCTTAACAAATTATCTTCTTGTTCATTCTCAATTCGATTACTAATGTTATCAATATTAGAAGTTAGATTTCTATTTAAATCATTACCCCACTCTGGACATTATTTACGTCTGTTAAGTTTTTTTATTTCTTCTTATATTTCTCAACGTCTGTTTCTTTTGATATTTCATTGTCGGAATATATAATATTCATGTTATTCAAATCAATTTTATTAGAGATGTTGAATGATTCGCTTCCCATTTCCGATTCAATGAATGCCACATTACGGGATTCTATTTTGTCATCATTCTCTATGTCATATATTCTGAAGGCTTTCCCACATCTGGAATATCCTACAAAATATCAGATTTACTTCGTTTTTGTAATTATTTACGTAAATCTTCGGATTCGCGAAAAAACACTTTCGATCCGAATATTCTTAAATGCATTATATTTGATTTCGTTCCCAACCATAATTTCATAAGGGCCTTTTGTTTCCTTTCTTGATAGTTATTGTATTATTATTAGTATGTACAGCCCTTTCTACGAGTACAGCTTCTGTCCAGAACTTGAGTGGCGATCTCAAATCAATTAATGGAGTTCTCGTTGCATTCAGGATTGTTCAGCTATACCATGGCTTTGAGGTGAGTAAGGTATGGTTCCTTCACTTTTTATTTCCTTTTCTTCATAAAAATGCAGTAAAGTATTGACGAACTCTCCACCGTTGTCTGATCTCACATATTTTACTCTACGGTTAGTTTCGTTTCCTTTTCTGTTTATAAAATTTATCAATCTAGTTGCACTATCAGCTTATTTCTTACAAGCTCTACGAAGTATTGACGACTAAATTGGTCCCCTCCCAATAAGTATAATGTTTCTATTACCCCATATGATTCTACAGGCATTGGTCTACAAATACCCACGTGCAATCTTTCCATGCGTACTTGTCTCATTATCTACAATCTTGAATGGAGAATTCAAATTTACAAAAATTAGTAAATTTCCCCAATAAACAGCTTTTACAGCATTCGTGTTCGAAAATAAAATCTCCCAATCTTCTTACCATTTGTTCTTTATGCATTTTTTTGAAATATCCATAGTTAATATGATCCAGTATCCTATACCAAAAATGGTAAACTTTCTCATTTGACTTTAAACAAACTTCGTTAGTAACAATTATTCCGGTGTGTTTACCATCCATATTACTTGTTAAGATAATTCTCTTCCGACTTGTTTACATTAATTTTAAAAATACAATTGCTCTCATTTAACGATCCTGTGGCTACAAGAACATTATCAAATGTGTCATAAATTCTCGCACCCCTTTTACCCAGCATACTTTTCGTGTCTTTATTCACGATGTTTGCAACCGATAATTTATTCGAATTTATGTTAGGTACATTCAAAACGTTTTCTATATTAATTTTATTTTTACTGTTGACATTAATACCACAATGACCCACGATATGTCCCACACACTTTGAATCAATCCTTCTTCCCCATTCAATTGTCGTGATTTCCGTTATTGGCGTTTTTTTTTGGTCACATAATAGGTCTTCTTTCCATGTCATATGAGACGTACACTCGGAGTCTAATAACCACGTTATTGTTATTTTATCAGTAATATTGACATTGTTCTCGTGTTCCTTTTTGCGAATTCCACTTGGTCCTGATTTACTATAGTTAGTTCGGGTTTATCTTTCCCCTTTTTTCATCATTAGTACTACTATTTTTTCGCACATATTGACATCCGTTATTGTAATCTCCTCTAGACCTATTTATACTTCTATCCACCTAGGACAACATTCTGTAGCGTAAATTCTATTTTAAAAGGCGTGTCAAATGCCGTTTACAAATCGAAAATCGGACCATTGGTTCAGACAGTTATCAGTAAATTCCCCTGAGATAGTGCTGCGATCTATTGAATTTTCCTACAAGTATTTTTCGGTCCATAAGCCTG